TTTTTTTTTCTAGGAAACCAACGAGAAAATAAAGAATGACGCGAACAACATACCTCTAAAACAGCTAAAACACGATGGATTGGAAAAGCAAACACAGAGTCGAGAAAGCCTTTATAGAACGTCAAAAAAGTATTGGCCCCCTGAGTATGCCTACCACTAAAACAGGGTGGCTTGCCATTTCTTTCAACGTCAATACAAGGACGTATGTCCAAATCAACTCGATTGAAAATTGGAGACGATTGGTTCGTTACGCAACAGCAAAGAAATTGACATTTTATTAAATTAATTCTGAACAATCCATGTTGATAATAATATTGAGAATTTTTTTAATATATGTTTTTAATATATAAGTTAAAAATATTTTTTTATTATAAATATACATATAAAAATATAAAAATTAATATTAATTTTAGTGTCAGGTAAATTTAATTAAATAATTAATAAATTAAAATTTCATTTTTATTTTTTCAATATAAATTTATGATCAAAAGATATATGTAATACACTTTTAATTTATATTATAAGGATACAAATTAGATAAATTCTATTATATATATATATATATTAAAGTAAAAACTATGAATGGAAACCCCTGCCAAATGTCAAATAACTGTATAATTCCTAAATTATGCTTATTTTGACATGTGACTGCTTGCCATATTTAGAAAAAAAAATTTCTTATAGAATATATTGTTATTAAATTAATTAAATTAAATCACTTAATTACCCCTTTTTTAATTTTAACCCAAATTCTTTTGTTTTAGTTCATAGTATCAAACAAAAACAAACTCTCCATTTGCTTTGCACCATTTTTCTCCATTGTCTTATTACCTTTTCTTCTTCCTCTCTCCATTAATTCCACGCCTACATTTTCCATCCACTTTCATAAATCCCTTTCTTTCCCTTTTTTTCCTCCCCAATGTACCTTTTATTCCCCTCACATTTTGCATCCACTTTATAAATCCCTAATTTCCAACAAACTTCAATTTAACAAAAATTGCAGGTGCTTCTT